GTAACTAGAAGCACTAGCGACACCCATACCGGTTTTTACGGTACGGCCGCAACTTGGTGTCACGTAGAAAATGCCTCGTCGTGATACTGACAACGGGGACAATCGTTATAGTGATAAAGCAAGCGTCCCAGCTTGGTATCAAACCACGGGACACATTAATGGAGGGCCAAAGACGCAAAAGAGAAAAAATTTAGCACAAATCTTCGATTGAATGTATCAACGGTATGTAATGAGGCGGTCATACAAGCCATGCAGGGCCCGAAGTGTCCATCCGGCCAATGATCCTCATTGTAGCCCCACAGGCTCTGAACAAACTTCGGATTCAGCAATGGAACATCCAGCTCCATTCGGCCCCCGCAAATGTAGAGGTGCGTGAGAATGAGGCTGCCGACCAAGCAGCCAAAGAAGCCGCAGATCCAAACCTGGCCAAACCGAACACCGCGGAACCTTGGACACTCATCGCCACGACAATGGCCAACATTCATCAAGCGACGAAAGCGGCATGGGCTATAATATATGAAAGGAAGTCCTCTAGGGTATGGTTATTGCTACTGTAGATAAAAGCGTTAGACCCAGCATTACTAGTTAATCCTCGCGGTATCAGTTGGCAGACAGGGCCTGCTATAGTCTCAAAGCGTCCGCGGTAAATGATCGATCCTCTCCTGAACTTTCTTAGAGCTGACCGCCAAGCTTCGAACCCAAAGATAGCGCTAGCCGCATCGCCATGCCGCGCATTGTGTCTACGCAGATCTGGGCAGAGTTCTCCACAGAGCAAGCCTCGGCCGCGTTTACCCCACCAGGGCTAAGGCTTGTTGGGTACCCTGGCAGGACAGCTTCTGGGTGGTTCGGACGCATCCACTCTAGCTCGTTTCTCCGACTAGGCGAAGGGTACGTAGACGGTACAAGAAAGATGAGGGGATTGACGCGCTGTCGCAAGGCAATTTTTGATTGTGGGGGCTTCACTTCTAACCGAAATGGCAAAGTCGTATCACGCTCACGCCATCCAGCTTCTCAGATCCTGGCACGCACAAACGGAGCCGTCAGGGGTGGACAATACTTAAGACGTAACGTGCGGCTAGCCAAACTCGAACAGGTCCACAGAACACCCCTCACTCCGCCGCCCGCTTCTCTTCCAACAGTCGGAGGCGGTCGCGGATCGCATACTTCCACTCCTTCGCCACTTTGTACACCAGGAGGAGGCCCAGAATGAAGAGGAGGCTGCAGAACGACACGATGGTCGTGACGCTGATCCAGAGCGCCGCCCCTTTCCAACCGGCCCCGCCGTCGTCCCTCATCGAGACGACCACCTGCAGTCCGCTCAGGACCACCGACGCGATCCCGATCACGAACAGAATTGGCCCATAGAAGCGCGCAAAGTATGACCCGTACTGGTACTCGACTCTCTGGAAGTGTGACCTGCCGAGGAGGAACGGAGCGTAGAAATTGAGTCGCGTCAGGCGGATCTCGCCATACGTGTAGCGCAGGGAGACGTCTCGGTCTGCGATGTCGCCTAAGCTTGATGTGAAGTCGCAGAACTGCTCCCAGGTAATATCCGCTGGAGCGAGGCACAGGCTGGGGTCCTGGGCGATGCGAAAGTCGGATTCGTGTCGCACGAGATGACAGTACGTCCGCAGGTAACCCAGCATCGCTCGGCGGATGCGCTGTTCTCGTCCTCCGCCGCCGACGTCCTCCGCACAAAGATAGTCCCGCCAGAATATGTAGGAGCCGATGTACCGCGGAAGCGGCTTGATGAAGATCCGATCGTAGATCCACACCAAGTGAAGCTTTGGGTCCTCCGTGACGACGATGGTGCGCCGTTTCACCAACTGCCGGTGGAGAGGCGATATGTTTCCGCTGTCCTGTTTTGACATCCACCAGAGCCTGTCGGCAACCTGGTCCAGATCATCCGAGCAGACTTCCCTGGCCAGCAAGTCCCATACCATGCTTGGGTTCTCCAAAGACACGCGGGGGTGTCCCGGCACGTGCTGGGCCGGCCCGTCTAGCTCCCGCGTAAACTGATGTTCCAAAGCGAAGGGCGGTGTCGGGGCCATTGATACGATCGTGTCGCAAGCTCTTAGTCGTCTGCATCACGACCCCGTCAGATGCTGAGGCTGAGGCTAGGCAGAATCCTCATTCATGTCACGTGGACAGCTGCATGCGAGATGCTGGCCTCACTTGCATCTCCTCTGTTGCTACCCATTTCAGCCCAAGCAACACTCGATCGTACCGTCTACTTCGCGCGTCGAAATCCGTCCAATACCTAGACAGAGATGGCCACCGTGCCCGAATTGTTCGTGGCTGTCTTTGCAACCGCCAGCGTTGTCCTGTTAGCGACGATCCTCCACCAAAGGTCCCTTAGACAGCCGTTGAAGTCGCCAGCGACCCAGGCCCTGACACGACGCGTCGATGACACCCCGGCCGAGACTTCAGCGCCGAAGACCAAAAAAAGTCTGACACTGCGCATCGATGAGATCCCGGCAGATCATGTCGATAACCTGGACCGCAACCTGAAGTCCATTCTCAGCAAGATTCTAGACTTGCGGGGAGATGCTAATCCTATGGTCTGTCGCTCTTTGGTGTCACATGGCAAGGACTCCTTCTGTGCTACAATCTCGATCAACACGTCGCTCTCCGCAGATGACCTGTCCGCCCAACTGCGCCAAGCAGGGCAGGCTCACCCGTACAAGTACACCTGCAAATTCCAAGGGGTCACGCCACTTTTCGAGGACAAGAACGGTGCGAGTATCGAGTAAGTCTTGCATTCGCCGACCTTTCTGTCCCATGCTAACTATTCTAGTATCGTCGCAGTACCCGGCCTCGGAAGCCACGCCCTCGGCTCCTGGAAATCCCCACACAGCGATGACGTCTGGCTACGCGATTTCCTGCCCAAGGACGTGCCTAATATCCGGGTGCTGCTCTATGGCTATGATACGAGTTTACAAGGCAGCCTCTCGAACCAGTCTATGGAGGATTTGGGCAGAGGTTTCTTGGAAAAAATCATCGCCTTCCGAGCGAATGATGGGGTAAGCTGTCTCGACTCTTCTCTAGAATTGGCTGACTCCTTTAGACTGACCGTCGTCCGATCGTCTTCATCGGCCACAGCCTCGGCGGCTTGCTGATCAAAGAGGTGAGAGCCGCGCCACCATAGAGACTTACCGAGCTAACCTCTACAGGCACTCATCCGTGCTTGCAAACATCACAACAATAGAGATTCTGACCTATCTAAAGCTAGTTTTGGAATGCTTTTTTTCGGTGTGCCAAACCTCGGCTTGCGAAATGACCAGTTGGAAACCTTTGTCCGGGGTCAGCCAAACGCCGACTTGATTCACGATCTAGTGGTCAACAGCGATTCAGAGCCCTCGACATTCCTGAAGAGACAGGCCCGCGAGTTTTCCGAGGGCTGCAAGTGTTATCGCGTTGTGACCTTTTACGAGCGCAAACACAGTCCATTGTTGAAGGTAAATCGCTTCATCAGAGACGCGAGAGTCCGCACTAATCCTCGCCCTACAGAAGCAAGATGGGAAGTTGGTCAAGTCCGGTTTGTGGTCTCTGTTGGTGACGGAGAAGTCGGCATCTAGTATAGGCTTGGTAGCTGTCGCTGAGGAAGACAAGGTACCCCTCAACACAGACCATTCTGGGCTCGTCAAGTATGAGTCCAAGATTCAGGACAACTACACCATCGTCAGAGAATGGCTAAGAAGATTTGTCGATGAAGCGAGGCCAGAGGTCGCCAGACGATTCGTCGAGCATAGTATGTAGCTTTTAGGCATCCTACGAATATCATCTGATTATATAGCGCAGGCCTCTACGGACCCCCATCGGAGACAACGAATGCCTGTCTGAAATCACTGGCCTTTGAAGACATGGACGGCAGGCAAGTCAATATCCCTGATGCTGCCGACGGCACATGCAAATGGCTTCTCAATCATGAAACCTTGATCAAATGGATCCGTCAAGATCGGGGTCTTCTGTGGATCAAGGGAAAACCTGGATCTGGCAAGTCAACGCTGGTGAAATATGCTAAGGATGCGATTCCTCCAGCTTATGACAAAGAGACGCTCGTATTTTCCTTCTTTTTCCATGGCCGTGGTCATGAACTACAGAAAACTCCGATTGGTCTCTTCCGATGCCTCTTGCACCAGTTGCTCAAGTGTGTCCCTGGCGCCGTACCCGACCTGATCAAATATTTTGACGACAAACGAGCAACCGAGGGCGAGCCCGGAGAAAAGTGGCAGTGGCATCTGCAGCCATTGCAGAGTTTCCTCAAGTCGTCACTTACAATCATCCTGAAGAGGTTTCCAGTCATCCTCTTCATCGACGCGCTCGATGAGTGCGGGAAACAATCAGCTGCCGGGTTGGTCGAATATTTTGAGAAATTACGCTCAAATCTCCCGCCAACGGATTCTCGGTTCGGCATTTTCTTCTCCTGTCGCCACTACCCCATCCTACAACTTAAAGGCGGATCAACTATATCGCTCGATACCGCAGACAACGCAAACATCACTGCAGACATCACTACATACATTCAAGGCCGCTTCGAAAATGGCCCGGACGTAGACGTCGAAAACTTGATATCGGATCGCGCCCAAGGCGTTTTCTTATGGGCACACCTTGTCGTGGAGAGGGTCCTGCTGCTGAAGCGCGAGGGGGAGTCGCGGGCCAAGATTAAGGCCGAGATCGAGCGGATACCCCAGGAAGTAGGCGAACTGTACCGCAGCCTTATGCGGAGCGTGGAGAATGCCTCGGAAACCTTGAAATTGATGCAATGGATCTGTTTCTCTACGAGGCCATTGACAACGGACGAGCTCCAATGGGCTATGGTAGTTGGCCCTGATGACACTCACAAGTCACTCGACAAATACCGAAACTCGGATGAATTCATCGCCGATGACAAGATCGGCATAAGGATCAGCGCCCTCAGCCGCGGCCTCGCAGAGATCGTACGGTCCAGAAATGCTCGCGTCGTTCAATTCATCCATCAGTCAGTCCAGGACTTTTTGGTCGAGGGTGGATTGAAGGATCTGGACAACACCACGAGACCAGCACACCTAGTGGGCCCCGATGTCCATTGCCGCCTCTCCCGTTCCTGTATCCGCTACTTTAGAATGGTTGTATCGTCTCAGCCAGGATCCCTTGGCGCCAAGGATGAGTCAAGATTCCCCTTGCTGCACTATGCCACAACGTCATGGGTGTCTCACCTGAAATTGGGCGATCCAGCCGAAGAGTCCCCGAACGATCTTATGCATCGGCTTGGATGGCTGACTGAGGTTATGGTTGAACCATGGGTGCGGACCTACAAGGCATTGGAGCCTTACGCAAGGGATTGCCCACCAACCGGAAGTAGTCTTGTACACATCGGAGCGAGACACGGCTTGACGAAGCTGCTGTCATGTCTACTCCTTGACACGGACAGAATCGATATCGATACAAGAGATAACAATGGCCAGACGCCGCTATCGTGGGCCGCTGAGAATGGACATGAGGCTGTGGTTAAGATGCTCCTTGATACTGGCAAGGTCGATGTTGATGCAAGAGACAAC